ATTCCTAATCTACCGTCACCTCTGATACACACCACACACCACAGCTGCCCTCCTGCTTCCCAGGCCTCACATCCAGCAATCTATCTAAAGAGTTTGGGTTTCTTTTGGGAGGTTGCAGTTCAGATAGTGAAAGTGGAATGATTATTTAACTGTGCATGTCTTTGTAGGGGTGGGTGATATGGGAATTCTAAACATAATCTGTATTATAATTTATATAAAATATTTAAAATGTAACTTTTTATTCTCAGAATAAAAAGGTGAAATCTATCCTTTAAATATCACTTCACTCCATGTGTAAGCTGAGAGAAGCCATAGCCTTTATGTGTGCTTTCCTTCATTCCTTCCCTCCCTCCCTTTTATTGTAACACTATTTTTTTATGGAAAAAGTTGTATTCTTTTTATGGAGTTTATCAAGTTTGTAATGTTATGAGTGATGAATTATTAAGGTTTTAAGGCTACTATTTTGATGAATGTCTGTAAATCTGTATTTCTTTATGGAAACAAAACTATAATGTAGAATTATGGAAACTAAGAAAGAAGGCACAGTATTTTGACCACTATTTTACCAGATTATTCAGAATTCTTACAATATATACGTATAATATTTTTGTCAGGCAGATCAACCAGGGTTCATTGAATGCTGCTAAAACTATTATAGCAAGAAAATAGAAACTTATAAATCTTGCACAATTATGACAAGCCTTTTGATAGCCCTTTATGTTGCTGAAACAGGCATAAAACTGGAATATATTAATTTTCAGGAATGGAGGAAAGTACAGTCAAAAAATCTTGTCAATGTGTAACATCTGTTTATTGATTTCTGGATCAATAAACCTGTACAATTGGGATGCAGCTCATGTTGGCAAGCATAAAATTCTGTCCCATGTTTTGTTCTAGAAAAGCAGCACTTGTGTCTTAAATCACTAATTTATGGCACATGCAACTACATTGCAGAGACTACTGTAGGACACACTGGATTTTTTTTTACAGATGGGCTGTGCACTTGGGTAATTATTTTTAGCTTGCTCACCTGTCACAAGTGTCAGTGGTGGTTACTGTCAACTTCTCACAGGAAAATAGGGTATGTTTCTGTGCCTTGTTAGCAGCCAACACAATGTGGTTTTATTTGTCTAAGACTGATCCTGGATCGTTGTGTTATCTATAGACAGAAGAGCCCATTCAGACATGATTAGAAATAATGAGACTATTCTTCAGCCTGTTCCTCTGGCTTGGCCAGATCCCTGTTAATAATCATTCTCGTATCAGAAAGTGGCCCATAAAGTAATATATAGGACTGTGCAAAGGTGACTAATGACAAGCTCTTGCTCTCCAGTCAAAAAAAAAACTTTTGGTTGAAAGGAAATTTCTACCTGGAAGCAATTTATCCATAGCAGCTCAGCTTTGCTGGAGATGATGTGTTTGTGGCAGTCAATGGCAGAAAGATTAGGTATACTGTCCACTATTCTAAAGAGCAAGTCTGCTGCATGGAAGCAGAGAACGTATCAACCTTATTTAATTTGTTATCTTCCAGATACATTATTAGGCTTCGGTTCAGATAGGTTAGTATTTGATTAACCATTAGTAATTAGCCAGCATGAGTATCGTCAGGCTGAATTAATTGACACTACAGAAAGTCACCAGTTTCTTAGCAGGTGTCCATGTTCATTAACTCAGTGGATCTTTGTCTGTTTTGCAGATAGTTACAAAATTTCCTTTTTGGTGATCTTTCTCCTCAAATCTCACCTTAAAAACAAGTTTTGCAGAAACTCGCTACCTGTTGTTGATGGTTTCTGAATTGGGTTAAGAAAGTGTGCTGTGTTACGTAGTCATGAATATATTTCTATGGCTAGTCGTTTTGGGGAAAGAAAGAATAAGTCATCATCAAATGAAGAGCCGAGGTGGCGCAGTGGTTAGGGTGCAGTACTGCAGGCCACTTCAGCTGACTGCTATCTGCAGTTCAGCGGTTGTAATCTCACCGGCTCAAGGTTGACCAGCCTTCCATCCTTCCAAGGTGGATGAAATGAGAACCCAGACTGTGGGGGCAATATGCTGACTCTGTAAACTGCTTAGAAGACAATATTAAATTCAAGTTGGACCTTAAAATATTGGGCATCTACTCCATTTGGGGGGGGGGGATTCAGACTTAACTTGACACTAAGTTCAACTTTGACACAATCATCACAGTTAAACTGGAATGTAGTCTTCTCTTCTTACAAAAAGAATCCCTAGAATTTCTTATATATTGTATGATGTAATATCATTCAATATTTCTATAAAATTAGCTGCTTTTGTCTACCTGTCTGTTTGTATAATTAAGCTTTGTTGGGGTTTTTTTTGGGGGGGGGGAATGCTATTTCAGATTTGTTTTTCCATTATCATTTCATTCAAGTATTGTGATAATAATGATGTCATTTGTTTGAACATGACCAATGTTGTGATGAATTGGTTGTATTCACACAACAGGTTCCACTAAATCAGTTACACATCTTTGCTGGGTTTCACTGTTTTCATGTATTTATCTCTATGTGTGAATGGTTAATGTGGATAACCCCAAGTTAGTTGCTCCAATGTATTTAGAATAGAACAGAACAGAACAGAATAGAATAGAAGAGTTGGAAAGGACCTTGGAGGTCTTCTAGTCCAGCCCCCTGTTCAGGCAGGAAACCCTCTACCATTTCAGACAAATGGTTGTCCAATCTCTTCTTAAAAACTTCCAGTGTTGCAGCATATACAACTTCTGGAGGCAAGCCGTTCTACTGGTTAATTCTTCTCACTGTCAGGAAATTTATCCTTAGTTCTGGGTTGCTTCTCTCCTTGATTAGTTTCCATCCTTTCTTGTTCTGCACTCAGGTACTTTGGAGAATAGCTTGACTCCCTCTTTTTTGTGGTAACCCCTGATTAACCCAGATAATGGGTTAATTCCAGAGGTGGGTTGCTCCCGGTTCAGCCCACTTCATCTGAACCGGTAGTGGTAATGTAGCCTGGGTCGCAGAACCAGCAGTGACCCAGGCTGGTCATACCCCTGAACCGGTTCCCCGGTTTCTTCTGCTGTTGCTGGCATGGTTCTGCGCATACACAGAACAATTTACAGTCAACCAGTACAGGAACCCACCCCTGGTTAATTTAGTAACCAAACTAAGTGGATTGCATTTAGGTGCCTATGCTTAAATTTCACTAGAATGTATACATTTCATAAATAGTCAAGTTGAATGTTCCCTATGACTCCTAGATATTCCATTTAGGTAGATGCATAAATAGATCTCATTTAGGTACTATGTCTATCTATCGCTATCTACCTAAGTAACTTGCATTATACTGAGAGCTGAAGCTTATACGGAGGTTCTTTGGCTCAAGTTTAATTAAGGCTCCAGGAAGCTCAAGAATATCTGCACCGCTTGACAGCAGACAGGTGGGATTTTGATGAGCGCATCTCTGTAGAGATGGTAAAGAGTGCATCTGGTCCTTTTGTCATGCAAAGCTTATACAATACTGCTGACCTATATGTCTTCCCTAAGGAAGATGGCTGCTATTCTAAACCAATGATTTAATTTTGTTGGCGTGCTTATTTTTAAAGAAATAATCTTCTTTAAGGTCTTAGCTGGCTTGCATTTGATTGCAACAATATGTTTTGTTCATATTCATTACCTTCATTGCTAAATTAATTTGGGAATTACAGAACAATGACACTTTCCTGTTCTGAAGAAATGTCCTTTTCTTCTGCAAGAACAATTTATTTCTTCTGCTGTCTCAGGTTCCTTTTTTAAATAAAATATTAAAGGTTTTAATTGCAATAGTAAAAGATAATACAAAATAAAAAGAAAAAAAATAGGAAAAGGTGCAAAAAAGCAAAGAAGAAAGAAAACAAGAAAGAAAAATCCTAAGAAAGCAACTTCACACCCTCATCTTGACAGGTCTAAACAATTTTCCAATCTCTTCACCACCTCTTAATTAACAGATACAAAGTTCTTCTTCCCATAACTCATCTCTTAACTATAGGCAAATCCAATAAGTAATGTTCTCTCCAATCTAGGTGTCAGCAAAAAGTCCAAACAGAGTCTAAAAACATTAATTAACATATATAAAATGCAGCACCTCACATCTCAACTCTCAACAGTAAGCAAATCCAAATTTAGGAGGCACAAAGCAGTCCCACTATCCTAGTATGAAGAAAAGACTGAAACTTAACATGACAAGAGGAATAATTTCTCCTTTAAAGAGAACAAGCTCACAAAAAATTCTGGCTTTAAGTGAAAAGACAGTTAGAGACAAAGCCAATTTAAATACTGTCATATTAGGATACATAAAAGTACAGAAACTGTATTTAAAAAGGCTTAAATAGCTTGTTAACTGTAAGCTTGCAGTTTTATTTTCTGAGACAGCTTGTCTCCCACCTTCTCTGCCAATTTATTTCATATTAAATCTTTGCTTTCTAATGATTCACTTTGCTGGGATTGTTTTAGATCTCTCTCTTCTTTTAAAGAAAAACAACACAATTTATTTGGAGATTACAGTAAGTTGCTCTGAAAAGTTATGTGAAACTTCCATTTGAATTTTGCAAGCAACAAAAGCATACTCTAAATGATTAAAAAATAAATGCACATATATTAAGAAAGGGCTTAATTAGTATTGTATATGTGTATTTTAAGACACTAGAGTTTACTATGAAGAACAATATATTAAGGATAAAGATTAATACACTATCTTAGCCAATTTGTTTAGACAACTATTAAAATGTGATAAATGATCTTTGTACAAAATGTTACACTGAACATTCTTAAGTTTGGGAAGAAAAAGTGAAGGTTCATGTTTTGTTTTAAAGTCTATGGTATATTCCATTGCTGTGTGGTAGCTTATTCAGTAGTTTAGAGTTCAGGAAAATTATTGTTTTCTCTACAGGGGTCTCCTGTGTATGTGCATTATGTCTACATCTATATTAGGAGGAAATAGTGTGAAATGCAGTCAAACATAAAGAGTGGGAATTAGAAATTTAAAAAGCCACAATGAGTCAGAATACTCGATACAGGGTTGCTGAAGCAGACCTAGTAGATGTTGGTTAAGAAATGATTACTGTAATTTAAGTTCACAATAGATTTAGAGATTGTAGTGGTGATAATGCTTTCTGTTTTTCCTTGGGAATGACTCATATGAAAGCAGATGTCCTGATATAACCCATTGTTCATCAAGGCCACTATTCTGAGATAATATAGATAGGAATGGGGCTTTCCCCAATTTTCCAGATAGGTCACATTCATCTGCATAGAGGCCATGCTGATTGAAAAAAATATGGAAACTGAAGTAGAGCACCAAGCTGGGGGAGGCTTAATTAAGATATCAAGACATGTACATTGTTTGCTTATCCTCTTCATTCATCCTTTCTCTCTCTCTCTCTCTCTCTCTCCCTCTCTCTCTCTCTCTCTCTCTCTCTCTCTCTCTCTCTTTTCTAGGAGCCTGGCTCTGCCTTTCTACAGTTGGGTGTCTCAATTGAACAACAGATACAAGTGATCTTCAAAGTCTTGGAGGAATATGACTGGAGCTCCTTCGCTGTTATCACCAGCCTCTATCCGGGATATAGCATCTTCCTGGATGTAATTCGATCCTTCACAGACACCAGCTATTTTGGCTGGGAGATCCAGGACGTCTTGACCTTTGAGATGTCCCAGGAGACGAGCATCTCCAAACTGCAGAAGCTGCTCCGCCAGATAGACGCTCAAGTCATGATCGTCTATTGTTCACGAGATGAAGCAGAGTTCCTCTTCCAGGTGGTTGAGCAGGCCGGTTTAATCGGCCCTGGCTACGTCTGGATTGTGCCTAGTCTAACAGTGGGGAATATGGATGTGCCACCTACCTCATTTCCTATTGGCCTCATCAGTGTGACCACTGAAAGCTGGAAAATGAACCTGAGACAAAAGGTTCGGGACGGAGTGGCTATCATTGCTATTGGAGCCGAGAGCTATTTCAAGGCCCATGGCTACCTCCCCATCGTGGGCAGAGACTGCAATAGCAAAAGCCCTTCCAGCGCACCAACAAACACTTTCTATAGGTCAGTAGAGGTAACCTTGATTTAAACCGACGCTTGTGGATGTGTATTAGAAATCAGAATTTGACTGGACAGCAATGTTTCATCCTGAAATAATGGGCATTTTCAGCTATGTGAGAGGCAGTTTAGCAGTAATCCTAATAAGGCTCCTTAGATTTCTATAATTGAATAAATGTAGCTTTAAAAATTAACACATGACTCTCCTCCGGATTTCTCAGAGCCAGATATTTGTATGTTTTATGATAAGAATTCTTCAGACTGAATATATGTACAGTGAGAATTTCAGAAATGATGAAGATGAATGTTTATTCAATGGAAGAGTGAAGTCAGTGGAGAAGATTGCAGCCATAGCAAAAAGAAGCTTAATGGTTTTAGGAGCAATCAGAGAAGTTATGCACACTTATCCTGATCCTCAACAGCCTAGGAACAAATTCTTTTTTTTTTAATTTTTTTATTTTTATTTCATAGACAACACATACACACAACAATAAAACAAAACAAAACAAAAAAACACAAAAAACCCATCATCACATACAGCATGTCGTTTGGTTACAAGTGTTTTAATATTTATCATTCTTATGCATTTATTATTTCATTTAATAGGTTATAATATACAGTTTGGGTTGCTTTGTTTACCATCCCTAACACCTGTTGTAACACCACCTTATTTTCCCTTTCTCTTCTCCCTCCCTCCCTTCTCTACTTTCTTCNCCACCACCCCTGCCCTGGGCTCTCGGCTGGTGAAACGCTTGTAAGCCTGGTGGGGCATAATTCACTAAGGGGAACATCCCCCTCATGGCCCAACCAGGTCTCCGTAATGCACGCCAGGTCCGCTCTACCTTCTTGTATGAGGTTGTAAATGAGGGGAGCCTTATGTACCACGGACAGGCGTTAAGCGGCACCAGCCGAGACCAGGGTCCTGTAATCCCGAGCACCCAGGGGTGTGAGAAGAGTGATGAGGGTCAGAATGCGCGATCGCTCTTAAACAGGAAACCCATGTCCCCCGAACATAATTTGGCCCTCACCATATCAGCCTCTCCCACAAACAGTAGAGATGGTGAACCCCCCCTCCCAATGGAATGGCTTAATGTCTCCCAACCCTTCCCAGCACTTTATTATAAATAGAGCAATGGAGCCATAACATAACCAGGTCTTGAGAGCCTTGAACTGTCAAAAGGGATGGACCTAATCTAATTTTTGGGATGCCATGGCAGAGAAGGCATATCTCCTGGGACCCACCAAATGAAGGTTTCTAGCTGATGGTACCCATAGCATGTCTTTTCTGTCAAATCTCTTGGGACAGGCTTATATTACTGGGGAAAGGCAGTCTCTCTCTGGTATCCTGGTCCCATGCCACAAAGGGCCTTACAAGTCAAAATCAACATTTAAATTAGACATGAAAGCAAACTGGCAACCAATGCAGTTCATGGAGTGGAGGTATAATCTGTGCTGTTCTAGAAGGGCCCATGCTGCAGCATTCTGTACCAGCTGAAGCTTCTGGATACTCTTCAAGTGTATTTCCATGTAGGACGCATTGCAGTGGTTCAATTCATAAAACAAAGGAAAAGCCTTAATAAGGATGAATAAAAGACAATAAGGAAAATAGAAACAGGGGAGAGAAACTTGATGAACAAATCACATGCTTAATTATAGATCAATGATGGATGAGGCAAAGAGGTCTTGGATTACGAGAGAATGGGAGTCGGTAGGGTTGAAATGCTAGATAGTTCAAATGCTGGGCTAGGATTGGGAACCAAGGTTCACTTCATCCATGAAAATGTTTTGTGTAACTTTGGACCAGGCACTCTCTCACTCCAATGGACTTCACAGAATTGTTATTGTAGGATAAAGTGAGGAGACATCCTCGTGGAAGATCCTTTGAGAATGGAGACATGATGGGATATCAATCTCAGAAGCAAGCAATCCCCCCATACCATTATTGCTTACTAGTATTTGATAGAATTTATTTTTCTAGAACTCTGGACTGCTTCATCCATTACATATTCTTAGATGCCTATTTAAGTCTACAGACAAAACTGTAAGTGTCCAACAAGAAACATTTTGCAAAATCATATATTATAGTTTGATCTGGTGTATAAGGCACCAGATTAGAAACTGGGAGAACATGAGTTCTAGTCCTATCACATTCAATGTTTGAGCTAGTCCTATCACATACAGAGTTTAATGATTATGTGATTATGCAGTGACTCCAGGCTAACTCTAAGCTTGCTCCCTACTCCCTGTCAGCCTGGGTGCTTCTCAACATGACCTGTTTTAGGCATGAAAGCCAAGTGGATGACTCTGGACCAGTCACTCACTCTCAGCCCAATCTACCTCACAAGGTGGTTGTTGTTGAGACAATAGGAGGAGGAAGGAATATTGGTACGTAGTAATAAAAGCAGAATATAAATAAATAAATGTGCTCATTCTAGAGCTGTGGTTGACCCTCTGGGTCCTGTATGCTAAGAGGCATAGTCAGGTTTCTTGAAATACACTGTGTAAAATAGCTCCCCAAGATCCAACTGTTAAAGCACATCTCCCGTACTTTCCACTCATTCCTCCCTTGGATGCTTTCCATAATTTATCTTTGTTCTGACTTTCAGGGGCTCCTTAATGGCCATGGATAGAACATTGGCAAACACCCTGGTGCTGTCTATGGTGCTGGGCTGTTCAGCTGCCCTAATGGATACATCGGTGCCAAGCTCCAGGGAACCTGTGGTAAACGTGGCTGTGGTTTTCAGCAGCTCTTCATACTCTCTCCATATCCGGAGCCGACTAACATACCAGACCTTCCTGGACATGCCTCTAGAGGTCCATCCAGTCACCGTGGTGGTCAATGACACTAATCCCAGCACACTCTTGACTCAAATCTGTGACATGCTCTCCAGCACAAAAATCCATGGAATTGTCTTTGAGGACAACATTGGTACAGAAGCTGTGGCACAGATCCTTGATTTCATCTCATCCCAGACCTATGTACCTATCGTTAGTATCAGTGGAGGATCTGCCGTAGTCCTTACACCTAAGGTGAAATTTCATTGTTATTCTGGGAAATGAAGCTGGAATGGGCCTGTAGATTGTTCTCAGATACTTCATCTATATTCATTTATTTGTCTATTGTCACAGTTTTCTACAAGACCATCCAGGATATAAATTCTCTTAACTTTTAAATAGTGGTATAATTCTATTGCAGTAAACAAAGAGCAATTGTTGTTCACTAAGAGTCTGGCTTTTTAAAACCATATTGAATTTTGTTTAATCTAGACTTGGGTCACACTGGACAATTAACACCGGCAAGTGCCAGTGCAAATTGGGAGATTCACTAGTTAGTTAGCTGGGCAGGAAGACAAAGCTTGACAAGGAAAGCTGACAACAATTAAGATTAAGCAAGGACAAGGGAAGACAGCCATGCAAGCTCCAGGGACATATCATGCAAGACTTAAGTAGATTTGGCTAGGAAGACATTTCTGCAAGCTAGTGCAAGGAGACCAAAAAGGATGTTATTTTGGGAATGCTCTCTTGAATACTGGCTGCCTTGGTGGTGCTTCATACAGTATATTATACATTTACTCACTGATGTGACTATGCTCTTTGCTCAATTATTTAGAACTCATTTCTACATAGAGCTACTCCTTGCAGGTAGAACAGTTCCTCTTCTCATTCAAATGGTCTTTTTTTAAAGAATGCCAGCTTTCTTTTTAATGAACTAGCACTTGTGCCTATAACCACAGTGAAATGAGTAAGAATTTAAAATGGAAAGGAATTGTGTGTGTGTGTATCTCCCATCCTTCTACCAGGATGAAAAGAGCAAGACCTTGGAATTTTACCTGAAGGGCAGGTTTGCAAAGATCAATAAGGAGAAATGTGGAGGCCCTGATGTGAATTAGGGAGGTATATTTCTGAGGGATTAAGCAACAGTCTCTTCCAATTGGATGCCTCCAGATTTGTAGGATTAGAAATCCCCTTCACCTTGCCGGCTGTGAGCTACTGTCTAATACAGGGGTAGTCAACCTTTTTATACCCACTGCCCACTTTTGTATCTCTGTTAGTAGTGAAATTTTCTAACTGCCCACCGGTTCCACAGTAATGGTGANAGAGGGTTTTTCCTGGGTCCCCAGAGACTTTGCGAACGTCTCTGGGACCACTGGGTCTCCCCCTACCTTTCACTGTCTCTTCGGGACAGCTTGGGTCCAAAAAGAACGGTCCAGATGCTCCGGTTTAGATGGACATTCAGGAGCAGCCTGAAAGTCCGTCTTCACACTGCTAAGCCCCGCCTTCTCCCGTAGGAACAAATTCTTGTTTCTGAATTCTGATTTAAACAGATAGGCTCTGAAGGAGTTCAAACTTTATAACCATTAATTTTAAAAAGTTTTCAAGAACGTCTCAAATTCTATAATTTCTGGAGTTTCGTAATGAATGACGTTCTCAGTCATGATCGAGTGGGTTAATGAAGTGTATCTGCCATGATAACTTTTTAGTCTTAAAGGATGGCCCAAGTCTTTTATTCCTGAAATTCAGAGCACTTGGTTCTGTAGGAACAAGGACACATTTGACATCATACCACTAAGCTATAGCAAGGGTGTTAGACTCAATTTCATTGAGGGCCACACAAGGATTGTGTTTGACCTCAGGTAGGTGTGGCCAGGGTGGGCATGGCTAGCTAGACTTCACTCATGTCAGGGGCTGGAGCGCTCTGCCAGCGAAAACGGGCTTCCTATCTCCGTTTTTGGCTGTGATGGTCTCCTGCAACCCTCTGCCAGAAAAAAACAGAGCTCGGGAGGGCCATGTTCAGCCCTCCCGAGCTCCATTTTTGCTGGCAGAAGCACCGCAGGTTGGTCCTTTGCTGTTTCCAGGGTGGCCCCAAGGGCCAGATGTGGCCCGTGGACCTTGAGTTTGACACCCCTATATAAGAGGATCTTGGTTCCTCTCTCTTCCCTTTAAAATAAGAGGGATTATAATTACAGTTAGTCCTTGATTTACAACAGTTCATTTAGTGCCCCTTCAAAGTTACAACAGCACTGAAAAAAGTGACTTACGACCATTTTTCATACTTACAACCATTTAAACATCCCCATGGGCACCTGATCAAAATTGAGATGCTTGGCAACTATTTAATATTTATGATGGTTACAGCATCCCGGGATCACCTTAGCAACAGAAATGTTGGGTTCAAATGTGGTCATAAGTCAAGAACTACCTGTACCAGCAAGGGAGTGAAGGAAGAGAGAAATACCAGGATGAAGTATATGGAGAGGTCAAACCAAGGTGTTGTCACTGCCGTCCCACCCAACACTCCTCTGTGTTGGAGATCAGTTGCGCCAAGAAACTTCACCTCCAAGAAGCAGTGACAGTAAGAGTGAGCAGCCAGCCAAGTCCTGAAGCAAAGCAGCTTTCCATTTTCTGCTAGACTACACTGATGCTCCTTTTTAAAAAAAAAAAAAAAAAAACTGAACTCAGAATATAATCGCAGCACTCTGAGTCTATTTTACTTTAATTTTATCTTTATTTTTAAATTGGTTCATCATCTAGAATTAAGAGCTGCATTGAATGCATTAAAAAAAACAGGTCTGTCTTAGGTATGCTTAAAATGTAGACCACAAAAAGACAATGCCATCTGTAACAATTACAAAGTCTTGGAGAAGTCCACTGTGGGGCATGGGGGCCACGTTGGGAACCACTGTTATAAAGTGTCCATTTGCCATCTTGTACAAGATAAAACCAGGCCAATTTGGAAGCATTTGCTTTCAAAAGAAATGAAAGTGTTATACCAAAATTTGATGGCTTTCCTCATTCTCCATAGGCATTTACTCAATGTGACATGGGAAAACAGAGATCTCTCCTTCAACAAAGGTGGTTACTTGGTGAGGCCCACCATGGTAGTGATTTCGTTGAACCGGCATCGACTCTGGGAGATGGTAAGGCCCTTCCTCTGCCCCTCCCTCCCCACCCATCATCTTGTCTTAAGTGCATAGTCTTTTAGAACTATAGTTTGCTTGTTCTACAAATGGGTTTGTCTATAATTTACCTCCAGTTTTAAGCATACATAGCAACATCCACTAATATCTATTAGCCTATGCAGGCTTTGACAATAACTGCTTTGAATCTAATGCAAACCTAATTGTGATTCATAAGCAGATGAAGCAAATCTGGCTTCATATCATTTGTCTACTTTTATTTCCCATTGAATTTACGTGTGACTGGAAACAGTGGAGGGTATCTACGTACCTGGGAGTTCTTTAGATTAAGATACTGCTACCTCTCCCTCAGATACAGAGAGACTGTGTCTATCTGAATTCCCAGCCAGCAAGACCACAAAACCAACATTGTGGAAAATGCCAAATGGGAAAGACTGACTCCAAAACTCTTAGATTGTATTTTAAAATCTTATCTTTGTTATGAATGGTAGGGCTATGCACAACTGACATATGATTTGTAAGAACTGCTTTTATACCTAGGTCAGGCATAGGCACCTCTCTGGAATTCATTAAAACAGCCCAATTTCTTTCTGGCTTTTGCAACAGAAGGCTGGCAGGTCTGAGAATTCTGAACAAGAATTGGCAATTGACTGTGCCCAAAAGTCACCTCTTATTGTCCTTCTTACTTCCGCAGTGCAGGCTTTTTTTTTTTTTACTCTGTCATTAAAATAAACAATTTCATTTGATAAACAAATTGAAGCACCATGAAATGAATTTTTAGATTCGTTTATTTTGTATGTTCGCAACTAATTTATTTAATTTGCAATGGAGGCTTGATCCATCACATGCCATAAGGCACATAACTCAGTTGGATGAATGCTCGTTGTGCAAGATGACTTTGTTGTTTCTTTCCAGTCATTAAAAATTGAATTAAAAAATAAACCTCAACAAATGTTGTGAAAGCAGATTGGCTTAAACTGCTTATGTACCAGAGATTAAGTTTTAAAGAACATGTAGGCATATTAGAAAGCTTGCCAATAAATTACTGTCTTTCCCCCCCAAAAAGGATAAATTTTTATTAAGAATCAACCACAACATCATTAATATCCATGTCAATCCAAAAGATAAGTGCTTCCCAAATTGTCCTTTTTTCTGGATAGTATGATCAGGGCTCTTCAGAAGAAAAACAGCTCAACGAGAGAAATTTATTAAGATATTTGGCTCCAAAGCTCTGCATGTTAATTTGCATTGTTATATCACATACCATGTCCATGTTTGATGTAGCCTATGCTTGACAGGATTGCTTGTACCATTAAGCTAAGTGAGGAAGCCACCATAGGTCATTGGTATTCATTTATCCTGAAGAGACAATAGTAATTGAATTAAGTTCTATCTCAAGCGGCAAAGAATTTTTACTTGTGTTTACTTTATGAATAATCTTTCATGTGAGAAAGACTGCATGTTATGTTGTAAGAGTATAACATGCAACTGTCCATTTATTTTCTTCCTCACAAACCAGCCCAAATGATCACATTTTAAAACAAGGCCACCTTAAGCAACAAAAGGGACTAGTTTTACCCTATTTTCCCCAAAATAAGACCTCCCTGGATAATAAGCCCAATCGGACTTTTGAGCGCATGTGCTAAAATAAGCCCTCCCCTGAAAATAAACCCTCTCTGAAAATACTGCCACCCTGCATCAGCCATGAGGTGACAACGCTCGCCACCTCCTGCACCTCAAAAATAATAAGACCTCCCTGGAAATAAGGCCAAGTGCTTATTTTGGGGGTCAGAAGAAAATAAGACCCTGTCTTATTTTGGGGGGAGCACAGTATATAAAATAATGTGATGTTTTGTTTGCTGCTCCATCTCAAATAATATGTCCTGAGCCCACATTAAATATGTTGTTGCAGTTCATTTCATTTGTTCTGACCAGGTTTTTTAATTTTGAGGAATGTTCCATATCTGTTAGCTCTGAAGCTCTCATCCCATTTGCCTAGAATATTCCAGAAAACTGGAGGAATGTTAGAATGATTTTAGCTAGCTGGGCATTTAGATTGCACCATCAATTTTGCTAAAATCTATTCCTGCATTTACACATTTCTCTTAATGAGAGAATATTGATGAGGTTACTCTCCTGCTCTCCATATGCACAAATGGACATCTTAGCATCTGCAATATAATTCGCTATATTGCAACTGGCAAAAAAGTCACAAAGGAAAACAAGTTGCGTATATTATCTAAGTATTTCTCCAATTTTTGCTCTTTGCATATTATCTAAGTATATCTGATTGGGTTTTATGTTATATTTGGATAATTACAAAAATAATCTGAAAGAGATGAACACTATTAGTAGAAAGATACTGGTGTTAATTAAATGAACTATTTGTATAATTGCTTTCCATTATCACATTTCCTTTATGATATGACTTTCTCTGTTCAAGTGTTTTCCATATGTCATAGCAATTTACTACTGAGTTTTCTGTTAGGAATAAAGAATACAATTCTACTCAAACATTTAAAATTTATCTGCATTTGCAACTTTAGGGTAAACTGTTCTTTTAGCTGCTTCCAATACTCCATGGATGAAAGGCTTAGGAGACATACCAGATCATAAACAAAAATCCCCCACCCCAATTCTCCACTTTATATTAACTCTTCTTCCTTATAGCATAATATTCTATTGAGTTCCACTGAGAATAAGAGTAAAACCAAATTTGAAAAAATTGTTTAGAGGTCTCAAATCTGAAATTTGTAAATTTCAGAACCATTATAAATAAATAGAATGTGGCTTGAAATATAATGGAAAAATGTAAGATTTAATTTAAACTTTTTTTAAAAAAATGTTTCATGAATTTTAAGCTTTTGGGGAGGTTTATCTGGAAGAGTAACATGTTTTGAGGGCTTTGTTTCAAAGGCCTTTGCTGTCGTATGCAGAATGTGCATTAAAAGATCTTATTTCCATCATGCTATTTTCTCCAAGTGGGGAAATACCTATATCTAATGTAATGTTTTATAACTATTAAATGAAAGCCTTTTGATTTTTGCAACATTTTAATAATGTTTAACACATTATGTCCAGTTTTCTTTTTTCTTTTTGCAGTAGATTTTTTTAAAAAAAGTTAGAACAGGGGGCATATGCTCATTCTATACTTAAGCTAAGTTTGTTGAGCCTCTGGGAATCACAAACAAAATGTTCCTAAGTGCTTCTTGTTTTCTTGAGCCATGATAACGCAACCAGTTTTTTTAATTGTCATTTTTGTTTTATGTACATATGTGTGTACATAAGATCCATGCACTCAATTATATCATAAAATATACATACACCTACATATTTAAATACAATATAATAAAATAAGCAGTTTACAAAGTCAGCCTATTGCCCCCAACTATCTGGGTCCTCATTTTACCGACCTTGGAAGGATGGAAGACTAAGTCAACCTTGAGTTGTTAAGAATTGTACTGCTGAACTGCTGGCAGCTAGCAGTCAGCAGAAGTAGCCTGCAATATTGCATTAGAACCACTATGTCACCACTATGTCCCTTTATTTTAACCTATGCAATTATATTTTTTTCTTGAACAATTGTTATTTCAGCAGTGATGTGCGGTGAGGTTTATGGCTGGTGAGGCACTGACACAGTGGTGGGTTTCAAATTTTTTAGACTTGTGGACTTCAACTCCTAGAATTCCACAGCCAGGCATGCTCAGTTCCGATTTAAAGCGACAGTATTTGTTTTTCTCCTTTGCGAAAAAGTTTCCTTCATTCTTTTTCTTCTCCCTCTCCCCCTTCCTTCCTCCCTCTCTCCCTCCCTCCCCCCTCTCTCAAACAGACACATGCACAGAGAAGTTGGATTGGA